AGTCTGGCCAGGCATTTATCAATCTTATTAATTCTTTCAAAGAACCAGCTCCTAGTTTCTTGGTATGTTCAACTGTTTTTTTGGTTTCTATTTCATTGATTTCTGCTCTGATCTTTATTATTTCTTTTCTTCTGCTGGGTTTAAGCTTTCTTTGCTGTTCTTTCTCCAGCTCCTTTAGGTGTAGTGTTAGGTTGTATATTTGAGACCCTTCTTGCTTCTTTTCTTTTCTTTCTTTTTTTTTTTTAAAAGATTTTATTTATTTATTTGATAGACAGAGATCACAGGTAGGCAGAAAGACAGGCAGAGAGAGAGAGAGAGGAAGGGAAGCAGGCTGCCCACCAAGCAGAGAGCCCAATGCGGGGCTTGATCCCAGGACCCTGGGATCATGACCTGAGCCGAAGGCAGAGGCTTTAACCCACTGAGCCACTCAGGCGCCCCGAGATCCTTGTTTCTTGAGAAAGGCTTGTATCGCTATATATTTTCCTCTCAGGACTGCTTTTGCTGTGTCCCACAGATTTTGAACAGTTGTGTATCCATTATCATTTGTTTCCATGAATTTTTCCAATTCTTTTTTAATTTCCTGGTTGACCTATTTGGTTTTTAGTAAGATGCTCTTTAGCCTCCATGTATCTGGGTTCTTTCCAACTTTCTTCTTGTGATTGAGTTCTAGCTTCAGAGCATTGTGGTCTGAAAATATGCAGGGAATGATCCCAATCTTTTGGTACCAGTTGAGACCTGATTTGTTACCCAGGATGTGATCTATTCTGGAGACTGTTCCATGTGCACTAGAGAAGAATGTGTATTCTGTTGTTTTGGGATGGAATGTGCTGAATATATCTGTGATGTCCATCTGGTCCAGAGTGTCATTTAAAGCCTTTATTTCCTTGTTAATCTTTTGCTTGGATGATCTGTCCATTTCAGTGAGGGGGCTGTTAAAAGTCCCCTACTATTATTGTATGATTGTCGATGTGTTTCTTTGATTTTGTTATTAATTGGTTTATATAGTTGGCTGCTCCCATGTTAGGGGCATAGATATTTATAATTGTTAGATCTTCTTGTTGGACAGATCCTTTGAGTATGATATAGTGTCCATCTTCATCTCTTATTATAGTCTTTGGTTTAAAATCTAAGTGATCTGATATAAGGATTGCCACCCCAGCTTTCTTTTGATGTCCATTAGCATGGTAAATTGTTTCTCACCCCCTCACTTTAAATCTGGAGGTATCTTTGGGTCTAAAATGAGTTTCTTGTAGAGAGCATATTGGTGGGTTTTGGTTTTTTATCCATTCTGATGCCCTGTGTCTTTTGATTGGGGCATTTAGCCCATTTATATTCAGGGTAACTATTGAAATATATGAATTTAGTGCCATTGTATTTCCTGTAAGGTGACTGTTACTGTATATTGTCTCTGTTCCTTTCTGGCCTACTACTTTTAGACTCTCTTTCCTTAGAGGACCCCTTTCAGTATTTCCTATAGGGCTGGTTTGGTGTTTACAAATTCTTTTAGTTTCTTTTTTGTCCTGAAAGCTTTTGATCTCTCCTATTTTCTTTTCTTCTTCTTCTTTTTTTTTTTTTTTAAGATTTTTATTTATTTATTTGACAGACCACAAGTAGGCAGAGAGGCAGGCAGAGAGAGAGAGGGGAGGAAGCAGGCTCCCCACTGAGCAGAGAGCCCGATGCGGGGCTCGATCCCAGGATCCTGGGATCATGACTTGAGCCGAAGGCAGAGGCTTTAACCCACTGAGCCACCCAGGTGCCCCTATCTCTCCTATTTTCAATGATAGCCTAGCTGGATATACTATTCTTGGCTGCATGTTTTTCTTGTTTAGTGCTCTGAATATATCATGCCAATTCTTTCTGGCCTGCCAGGTCTCTGTGGATAAGTCTGCTTCCAGTCTAATATTGTTACCATTGTATGTTACAGACTTCTTGTCCCGGCTTCTTTCAGGATTTTCTTTGTCACTAAGACTTGTAAGTTTTACTATTAGATAACGGGATGTGGACCTATTATAGATTTTGACAGGGGCTCTCTGTGCCTCCTGGATTTTGATGCTTGTTTCCTTTGCCATATTAGGGAAATTCTCTAGAATAATTCTCTCCAATATATCTTCTGCCCCCCTGTCTCTCTCTCCTTCTTCTGGAATCCCAATTACTCTAATATTGTTTCGTCTTATGGTATCACTTATCTTCTGAATTCTCCCCTCATGGTCCAGTAGTTGTTAGTCTCTCTTTTGCTCAGCTTCTTTATTCTCCTTCATTTGGTCTTCTATATCACTAATTCTCTCTTCTGCCTCATTTATCCTAGTGGTAAGAGCCTCCATTTTTTTTTTTAAGATTATATTTATTTATTTGACACACAGAGATCACAAGTAGGCAGAGAGGTAGGCAGAGAGAGGGGGGAAGCAGGCTCTCTGCTGAGCATAGCCTGATGCAGGACACAATCCTAGGACCCTGAGATCATGACCTGAGCTGAAGGCAGAGGCTTAACCCACTGAGCCACCCAAGCGCCCAAGAGTCTACATTTTTTATTGCACCTCATTAATAGCTTTTTCAATTTCAGCTTGGTTAGATTTTAGTTCTTTTATTTCCCCAGAAAGGGCTTTTATTTCTCCAGACAGGGTTTCTCTAATATCTTCCATGCCTTTTTTGAGCCCAGCTAGCACCTTGAGAATTGTCATTCTGAACTCTAGATCTGACGTATTACCAATGTCTGTATTGATTAGGTCCTTAGCCTTTGGTACTGCCTCTTGTTCTTTTTTTTTTTTGGTGAGTTTTTCCACCTTGTCATTTTATGCAGATAAGAATATATGAACGAGAGAATAAAATACTAAAAGGATGGCAAAGACCCCAGAAAAAATGTATGCTATCCAAATCAGAAGAGACCCCAATTGGGGAGAAAAAAGGGGTAAAAAGAAGTTTAAGAAAAATTAAAAAAAAATATATATTAGACTGGTGAATAGAACAGAGTCACCCGCTTGATTTTGGGTGTATTTTGGTCTCTTAGAAGAAACTACCTCCCAAAACTTTAAAGAAAGAAAAACTTAGATATATACAAAAATAAGGATAAACATGATGAAGGGATGGAATATGACTGTAAAGATGAAAATTTAAAAAAATTCTAATACAGGTTTTGATAAGTTGGTTAGGAAAAGAAAGAAAAAGAAAGTGGAGAGAATTTGCTCAGGCTGGAGATGAGAACAAAGTCCTGTGCTAGATTTAGGGTATATTTTGATCTATTAGAAGAGTTTGTATCCCAAAAATTTTTTTAGAAGAAAAAACCCTATATGTATACAAAAAATTAAGTTAGATACAATGAAAGATAAAATGACTATCATAATGAAGGTTTAAAAAGGTTTTTTTTTAAAGAAAGGTATTGTTATAATAAACTAGTTTAAAAAACGTTAAAAGAGGAAAAGTTTAAAAAATTAGAATAAGAAAAAAGTAAAATTAAAAAAATTTAACTTTGCGGGAGCTGCTGCAGGGCTTCACGGTGGACGTGGCGAGGCACCAGCCTACGGACCCAGCCCTGCATCTGGCTCTTTGCTTAGCAGGGAGCCTGTTTTCCCCTCTCTCTCTGCCTGCCTCTCTCTACCATCTTCTCATCTCTGTCTGTCAAAGGAAGAAATAAAATCTTAAAAAAAATAATAAAACAAACAAAAATTTAACTTTGCAAGACTAAAGAATCATGGGTACAAAGTTATGAATTCTGTCCTTTGCTTCCCCCTCCTCTGGAATTCCGCTCTTCTCCTTGATCAGTGAGCTTGGTCTTAGCTGGATGTTCTTGCTGATCTACTGGGCGGGGCCTTTTGTAGTGATTCTCAAATGTCTTTGCCTGAGGCGGAATTGTGCTGCCCTTACCAGGGGCTCGGCTAAGGACTAAGTAATCTGCTCGGGTTTGCTCTGGGGAGCTTTTTGTTCCCTGAACGCTTTCTCTAGACCTCTGGAGCACAGGAATGAAAATAGTGGCCTCCCAGTCTCTGGCCTGGAGGAGCTGAGAGCTCGGGGCCCCTCTCCTCAGTGTGCCCTTGGAGAAAAGCGTTCAGTCACTCCCATCTCCCTGGTCTTGGGCTGACTCTGAGCTCACCCTCCTGCGATCAAGCACCTCCGTCTCTGGCACACAGGTCCATTTGGAGTCTCCAAACTCAGCAGATTCCTGCCTTCAGAGAAGGAAAGTGGGTCTCCCCAGATCTGCCACTTGCGGGGTCCCTGCTCGAAGAGCAGTGGCCCAATTGTGCCACGGATTACAGTTTAAGGTAACCCCAAGCTGAGCGCTCACTCCTCGGCTCCGTCTCTGTAGCCGGCTTCCCTGCTCTGATACCTGCGAGCTCTGCTACACTCAGACACCCCCGATCCTTCTGTGACCCCGTGGGATCTGAGACCATACTGTCCCCGCATGGACTCCACCCCTGCTTGACCTCTGGAGCAATGTCCTTCAGTGGAGCAGACTTCTAAAAGTTCAGATTTTTTGCTTTGTTGCCCTGCTACTTGCTGGGAGCTGGCCCCTCCCCCCATGGTCTGTCTTTCTGTTGCTTCAGATTCACTTCTCTGCACATCCTACCTTTCAGAAAGTGGTCGATTTTCTGTTTCTAGAATTGCTGTTCTTCTCTTTGATCTCCTGTTGGGTTTGTGGGTGTTTGGAATGGTTTGATAACTATGTAGCTGAACTCATGCTACCTGATGTCATCTCAGTCTGCTACTCCTTTGCCATCTTGACTCCTACCCCAGCCAGCAAATAGTTTTTTTTACTTTACATTCTTCCTGTGGCCACTCACATTAGTTGTTATTAAACATTTACCATATGCTTGGAACTATAAAGGATTAGGAGAATGGGATGGGTGTGATTTCCTATCTTGAATAATTTTTATGAAAAGGTGGAGTTTTAATAAAAGTGTGATCTCTACCTTCAAGTAAGTTATTGCTTAGTTGAAAAGACACATAAATACTTCAGAAGTTATAAATAGTAAAGCAGTAATATTTTTTCCCTTTTTTTTCCCCTCCAGGTTCCTGTTGCATGTAAATCTTGTCCCTGTGGTTATGTATTTATTAATAGGAAACTTCTAAAAGTAAAATGCTCAGAGAAATCATCATCTTTTACAGGTAATTGAGAGAGTTTACCACCTTTCTGTTTTTTATGGTTTCCATTATATAAAGTTAAAATTAATTTTTGTGAGTTAAATTTTTTTTTTTTTTTGCTGGTGGAATTATAATACTAAAATCTATTGAAGAATACTTTTGTTTTTTTATTAATTATTTTTATTAACATATAATGTATTATTTGCCCCAGGGGTACAGGTTTGTGAATCATCAGGCTTATACACTCAGTATCTTTGGTTTTTATTAGATACAATAAGTCATTTACATTGATTTATTCTTCATCCAATTTAAATGTTAACTCCTTTACTGATAAATTTTATAACAAATTTTAATGAGAATTTTTTAAAAAAAGATTTATTTATTTATTTATTTGACAGACAGATTACAAGTAGGCAGAGAGGCAGGCAGAGAGAGAGAGAGGAGGAAGCAGGCTCCCCGCTGAGCAGAGATCCCAATGCTGGGCTCGATCCCAGGACCCTGGGATCATGACCTGAGCCGAAGGCAGAGGCTTTAACCCTCTGAGCCACCCAGGTGCCCCTTAATGAGAAATTTTAATTAGAAAATGTTAATTGGAAGAAAGGAAACCTTGATTTTAGTATCATACTTTTTTAATTAGCAGGGTTTTTTTGATTCGCTGATTTAGACTACCTAAAAAATTGCTCACTTCAATTTTGTTTGAGTTTCTAGCTTTCTCTTTGATGTTAAATCTAGACTTATGCCCTAAGTGTATTCGAAGGTGAGTTTATTTACTACTTTTTATTCCTGTGATAAAAATCACATGTTGTATCAGTAGTGAGCCCATAATGATAGTAGATTTATTGCAAACAACTGTTGAACGCCTAACATATGCCAGGTACTATATATCTTGGGCATACAGCAATAAATCTACTTCTAAGACAGGTTTAGTACTGTTGTAGCAGTTGAAGATATTTGCATAGGAGTATACATATGGGATATACAGGGAGAATATCAGCTAGTAATAAGTGCTGGGTAGGAAATTAAAATAGGGTACTGTCCTATAGATTAACTAGAAGGTTACTTTTGATTGAGTGGTCCAGGGAATGCATCTCTGAGGAGGAGGTATTTTATAAGGTCTGAATAGATGAAGGGGCTAGACATATGAAAACCAGAGAAAGTAGATTCTAGGCAGAGGAAAAAACAAAGGCAGAAGTTCTAAGGCAGGATTTATTCCAGGAATGCAGTCTTAGTACAATATAAGGAAACCTATTAGTATCATATACCATGTTAATAAATATAAAGAAAAAACAATAAGATTATTTCTGTAGATTCTGAGAAAACCTTTGGCAAAATTAAGTACCCATTCATGATAGAGACCCTTAAGAGAATAGGATTTGAAGAGTACTTACTTAACTTGATGAAGTATATATTTTAGCATTAAAGGTAGTATCTTATTTAAATGGGGAACCTCTACAGGCATTTCCACTTCAGTTTCATATCAGGAACAAGGCAAACATTGTCACTGTCTTCACTACTATTCTGCATTATGTTAGAGGTAAAGTAGCCAAGACAATTAGATAAGAGAAATCAAGAAGAAGCATAGAAGTGGTAAAGAACAAGTAGAACAATATCTATTTGCAGATCATAGTATAGCTGGATTCCAGGAGATCAATAATAAAAGTACCTCAATACAGTAAAAGAATTGAGTGAAGGGTCAGGATTTAAAATTAACATAAAAAATCAGCTTTCATATCTAGAAATAGCTTATACTGAACATAGTGTTAGAGAAAAGCCTATTAACAATAGCAACATGGAGAGTTATATCTTTAGGAATAAATTTAGTAAGAATAGCCTAAAACTTATCCAAGGAAAATTTTAAACACTCCTAAAAGACACTGAAGCAGATTTAAGCAAATGGTAAAACATCCCTTGTTCTTGAATAGGATGATTCAACATCATAAGGATGTTAATCCTCCCAAATTAATGAAATCAATGCAATTTTATTCTTTAAAATTCATTTATTTTATTTTTAAAAGATTTTATTTATTTTTTTGACAGAGACAGGGACTGTGAGAGAGGGAATATAAGCAAGGGGAGTGGGAGAGGGAGAAGCAGGCTTCTGGCTGAGCAGGGAGCCCATTGTGGGGCTCGATGCAAGGCTAGATCCCAGGACCCTGGGATCATGACCTGAGGCAAAGGCAGATGCTTAACAACTGAGCCACCCAGGCACCCCAATGCAATTTTAATAAAAATCCTAAGAAGTTGTTTTATTGAGTTAGACAAGCTGATTTTAAGATTCATATGGAAAAATAAACACGCAAAAATAGCCACGAAAATTGTCAATTGACTTTTAGTAAAGGTCTAAGGAAATAAAATGAGAAAGAATAGTTTTTTCAACAAATGGTATTGATATACCATGCTGGATATGCAAAAGAATGAAGATGGCACCCTATCTCATGCCCTACATAAAAATTAATTCAAAATATGGGATGCCTGGGTGGCGCAGTTGGTTAAGCATCCAACTCTTGATTTTAGGTCAGATCATGATCTCTGGGTTATGGGATCAAGCCCTGCATCGGACTCAACATGGAGTCTGCTTCTCCTTCTCACTCTGCTGTGTACTCTCTCTCTCACTTTGTATCTCTAAAATAAATTAAAAAAAAACTTTAAAAAATTAATCAAAATACATTATAAACCTAAATGTAAGAGCTAACAAAACTATAAAACTCCTAGAGGAAAGCATAACAGTAAATCTTAGTGACTTTGGGTTAGGCAGTGTTTCTTAAATATGAGATATAAAGCTCAAGTGACATAAATAAGTAAATAGGGCTATATCAAAATTTAAAACTTTTTTTTTTTTCCCTGCAGATGATATCAAGACAACTCGTAGAATGGGAAATACTATTTTTAAATCATATATCTGATAAGGGACTTGTATCCCTAATATATACTCTTTTTTTTTTCTTTTAAGATTTTATTTATTTGATTCAGAGAGAGATCACAAGTAGGCAGAGAGGGAGAGAGAGAGATCACAAGTAGGCAGAGAAGGAGAGGGAAGCATGCTCCCTGCTGAGCAGAGAACCCAATGCAGGGCTCGATTCCAGGACTCTGAGACCATGACCTGAGCAGAAGCTAGAGGCTTAACCCTCTGAGCCACCCAGGTGCCCCCCTAATATATACTCTTACTCCTCAATAATAAAAAGAGAAATAACCCAATTTAAAAAAAGGGCAGAGGATTTGAAGGAATTTCTCCAAAGAAGATCTACAAATGAGCAGTAAGTACACCAAAAGATGTTCAACATTATTAGTCATTAGGGAAATGCAAATCAAAATCACGAGATACTACTTCACACCACTAAGATGCAATAATAAGAGAAAATAATAAGTATTGATGAAGAAGTAGAGAAGTTGAAACCCTCATATGCTGCTTTTAGGAATGCAAAATGATGCAGATACTTTGAAAACAATCCTCAAATGATTTAATCCTCAAATGATTAAATATAGAGTTATGATCCACAATTCCACTCTTAGGTTTAAACTCAAGAGAGTTGAAAACAGAAGTGGATGCAAAAACTTATACATGAATGTTATTAGCAGATTTATTCATAATAGCTAAAAAGTAGAAACAGTCCTGATATCCATCAACTGATGAAAAACAAATGTATATCCATAGGATGGAATAATATCTGACAGTAAAAAGAAAGGAAGTATTGTTATATGCTACTACATGAATGACTCAAAAATGTGCTTTGTGCAAGAAGCCAGTCACAAGAGATCACATACTTTTATGATTCCAATTATAGAAAATGTCCACGTAGGCAAATTTATAAATAGTAAATAGATTAATGGTTTAGGGCTGGGAAAGAGATGGGGGAGAATGGGAAACAATGATTAATTGATACAGAGTTTCTTTTGGAGGTGGAAAAATGTCCTAAAATTGGATTCACAATCCTGTGAGTGTACTAAAAACCACTGAACTGTGGCCGCCTGGGTGGCTCAGTGGGTTAAAGCCTCTGCCTTTGGCTCAGGTCATGATCCCAGGGTCCTAGGATCGAGCCCTGAATTGGGTTCTCTGCTCGGCAGGGAGCCTGTTTCTCTTCCTCTCTCTGCCTGCCTCTCTGCCTACTTATGATATCTGTCTGTCAAATAAATAAATAAAATCTTAAAAAAAAAACCCAAACCACTGAATTGTACATTTTAAATGGGTAAATTGTATGGGATGTGAATTATATCTCAATAAAACTGATTATAGTTTACTTATTTATTTTTAAAGATTTTTACTTTAGAGAGAGAAAGAGCATGAGAAGGAGGGGCAAAGGGAGAGGGAGAGACAATCTCAAGCACACTCCATGCTGAGCACAGAGCCCGACTTCGGGCTTAATCTCAGGACTCTGAGATAATGACTTGAGCCAAAATCAAGAGTTGATTGCTTAACTGACTGCGTCACCTGGGTATCCCAATAAAACTGATTTTAGAAATAACCAGGAAAATACTGAAAAACAGAAACTATCAGGGTTGGATAGCTATACTAGTCAGTAAAATAAATATAAATTAATATAAAGCCTTGGGATACCTGGCTGGTTCAGTTGGTAGAGCATGCAACTCGTGGTTTCAGCATTGTGAGTTCAAGCCCCACATGGTATGTGGAGCCTGCGTAATTAAAATAATTAAAAAAAAAATATATATATATGATAGAGCCTCTGTAATTAAAACATTTTTGTGTGATTGGCAGGGACAAATAGACCAGTGGAGAAGAATAAAAAGTGCAGAATTAGACCCAAATTCATATGAAAAGTTAGTATATGACAAAGGCGGTATTTCAGACCACTAGGGTAAAGTTGAACTTCTTTTTTTTATTGTGGTAAAATATATATAACGTATTTATCATTTTAACCTTTTGTAAGTGTACAATTCAGTGGCATTAAAAACATTCACAATACTGTGTGTCTGTCACTGTTGTTTTACTTCAGACTTTATCATCCCCAACATAAACCCTGTACCCATTAAACAATCTCTTCCTCCACACCTCTGCCCCACCCCCACAC